CGATCGCCTGGATGGCTTGCAAGAGTGAGGAAATCCAAGGCTATGCGGACCGCAACGAATGGAAGAACTTCTGCGCTGTGCTCAAAGCTGTCAACGGCCCCATAGTCAGAGGCACAGCCCCGCATCTCAGCGCGGACGGCACCACTCTCCTCATTGAGAAGACCCAATTTCTAAGCCTCTGGGCTGAGCACTTCCAAAATTTACTCAACCGGCCCTCTACTACCTCTGAGGCTGCCATTGACCGGCTGCCGCAAGTGGAAACTAGTGCTGACCTCGACCTCCCACCCACCCCTGAGGAAACCACTAAGGCTGTGCAGCAACTGTCCAGCGGGAAGGCACCCGGGTCCGACGGGATCCTGGCGGGATCTATAAATACGGTGGTTACCAATTCATAACTCACCTCACCACCCTGTTCCAAGAGATGTGGCGACAGGGTCAAGTTCCCAGGATTTCAAGGAGGCCACCATTGTCCACCTCTACAAGCGTAAGGGGAACCATCTGTGACAACCATCGCGGAATCTCATTGCTGAATATTGCCGGTAAAATCTTTACTCGCATTCTCCCCAATCATCTGAATAACCATCTGGAGCAAGGACTCCTGCCTGAAAGCCAGTGTGGTTTTCGACGTCACCGCGGCACCACTGACGTGATATTTGCCGCACGTCAGCTGCAAGAGAAATGTCAGAAGATGCAGACTCACCTCTACACTATGTTCGTGGACCTGACAAAAGCCTTCGACACGGTGAACCGGCCCGGACTTTTGAAAGTTATGCAGAAGTTTGGCTGTCCGGAGCACTTTACCCACATGGTACGACAACTCCATGACGGGATGATGGCGCGCGTCACAGACTACGGAACGCTGTCTGAAGCCTTTGCAGTGACCAATGGAGTGAAGCAGGGCTTTGTTGTCACGCCCACCCTCTTCAGTCTCATGTTCTCTGCCATGCTGATGGACGCCTACCGTGATGAGCGTCCCAAAATCCCCATCAGTTACAGAACGGACGGAAACCGCCTCAACATTCGTCGGATGCAGGCCCCCACGCGCGTCTCCACAACCACAGTCCATGATCTGCTGTTTGCGGACGACTGCGCTCCCAACACCTCAACAGAAGTGGACATGCAAAGGAGCATGGACCTCTTCGCAGCGGGCTGCGCCAACTTTGGC